CCCATTGTTTCTAAATATAAGCCTTTTTAGAGATTCTAATAGAATCTTATATATTTACTAATTAGAGGCACCTTTCAAGCGTTTTAATTAAGCCACACCATCATAATCAATTAAACCGTTGGATTGTAAAATTAAGCCCGAGATAAGAAAAAAACTTGCATAACACAGATGGTTCCGGCCGTCCAAAAAGACATATGACACGGCCAATGTTTCTAAAAAAAATCCATATATTCCTTTAAAGCAAATGATAAAGTCCTTCCATAATTACTCTATACTCCCTCAATTCCTTTATATTAGGTGTATTAGTTTTTTCATTAAATTTCACAATGTAAGGTGCATTTGCTCTAATTCCTCGTAATTCCCTTTTTATCCCTCTAGAAAGAGGAAAGTATCTCTATCCTGATTTCCTTTGTATATCCTTGTATCAAAAGAAGAAAACTATCTCTCTCTGGATTGCATGTATCTCTTACTTTCTTGGACTTAAGGATTTACTTGCCACTAACCAGCAAATTTGCCAAGGGTACTTTTGTCATAAGACCTCTATAATTATGCGCCTTGGTCACCATGTTCAAAATAATACATCTTAGATAAAAAAACGGAGGGAGTATATATGATCTTAGATGTAAAAAAAACTCAATAAGATCCATGAGACATCTTTTTTGACATGCAGGATTCGTGAAACTCTTCTGCAATTAAAAAAGGAGTTGCATCGCTCCTTCAAAAAAGAGAAAACATCTCCTCAGCTCATGTGCATTTTTTAGGTAACCTTGGCTTCCGTGGTCTATTCCAAAAAAAAAGAAAAAATCTGACACGTCCAATTTTTGAAACGAAATACAAAAGGTATCCGCCCGTTCCTTTAGAAATGAGATAGTCTAGTTTCAAAAAGAAAAGAAAAAAGAAGGGAGATAGTCTCCGTCTCAAAAAAGGCCCCTTCCGTTACAAACAACTAGTAGTGAAAGCCTTCTTGCCAATTAGAAAAAAACCATCTCTCCCAAAAAAGAGAAAGCATGTACATTGGCTCCCGTACATTTTTTAGGCAACCACGGCTCCTGTATATGGCCGGATCGTTCAAGTCATCAAAACTAAGTAGACCACTGAATTGAAAATTTATATCTGCTAAAAAGAAATCTTGCCAAACATAAATGTCCCCATCCAAACATTGGCTTGTGACAATTCCAACGTTGTAAAAAAAACCCGTCCGTTCCTCAAACAGAAAAGATAGCGTCCTTAAAAAAACAGTACCAGTAATAGAAAAAAACCATTTTTTAACATCATAAAATTTATTGGGAACCCAACAAAGACAAACATGCATCAGTGGTAACAATAACCCATATCCAGATATTCATATTATTGTCAGGCATTGCTAATTTGTAACAACTTTGTTGTATCTAACATTAAAGTTGCTAGCCCGTGCAGATGCACAGGTTAAAGACTAGTGAACTAAATACAAAACAAAATGAATGAATCTACATTCTAAAATACGTCTATATACATCTGTATTTAGTCCATATGGAAATCTCTAAAAAGAATAATATTTAAGAACGGAGGGAATAGGAATAATTAACTACTAGGGTCCATATGAAAGCCAATCGATTTGGGTGGGCATAAAACCTGAACAACAAATCAAAATAATCTAGTAATATACTACAAATATATAACTTTTTTATGGAACTAGCAGTCACATAGATCCGCCAATTTTTTTATTTTTATATGTAAACTTTAGGCATTGGTTTCTAGTGGGAGCAGTGTGGTGCGGACACCGAAAAAACATCTCCCGTCACCGACCCAGCCATGTGTAGACACCATCGAGCGCAACCGCAATGCCACCAGAAAGGCCAAACTATCCAACACTCGTGCATGCGCCTCTGTAGCATTAGTTTCCCCCATTCTCTAGTCTACAACACCACATATAATAAAACTCTGCAACACGGCAATGGTGTTACAAAAATGAGAAGAGTCCACACATATGAGACACACATGGAGAATGTGACCCAACACGTTAAATAGATAGTAACTGTGGCTCTTCCTTTCCATGGAGTATACAAAATGTAATTTAGACAAGGTTCTTCGTTAACGATGGATAGATATAGAAGTTTTGATTCTTCTGTTATGTCATGCACCAAATTCAAGTATAAAGAGAAAGACAAAGTTCTGAAGAGCGAGCAAAATGAGGCCCATCACCGGTAGGCTTTGGCCAAAGCAGAGCGAAGCGAGGCCCGTCGTTGCTGCTTGCCAGGTCGGCAAAGAATGGGAGAAGGCTGTTCTCCAACTTGTCATAGTAACAAGTTGCCATTATAGAAACCAACCACGGGCTGATAGGCACGCTCTTGATTTTTGCGCGCGGATGTAAAGACAGTGCACAATCATTGGTGAAGAGGCTGCCAGCCATGATATCGAAGATAGCGGCATACTCTGCTCCCTTGGGGAAGTTGGTATAGTTTGTGGTGAAGATCTGTTGGACATTCGTGGGGTCACAGGTGATGAGTAACCGCATCCCGCTACTGACCTAGCCATGTACCCTGGAGTTGTGGCCTGAATCGGCAAGGAGTATGATGAGATAGTCACGCAAGTTGTGGGCGTTGGCCAGGAAGGAAGGTAGCATGTGCAATATTGGTCAGTCTGTGGGAAGCGTTGTTTGGTTCTTTGATCTACTACTATACCAAAGTAGATGTACATAGGGACACATAGCAGGAGAGTGGAGATGAGCAACTCTTGCGAGAAACTAATTGACAATAGTATCACGAGGGTAGTGGGGGATATGCTACTGTCGTACTAATTTGATTTATGCATCCTGCGATCGAAGATGGCGATGGCTTCATTTATAGAGAAGTTCCCTCGATCTAAGTCCATTGATGTGAACGTTCTGACGCATTATGAAGTGCGTGTTTACTAACCAATAATTAGCTAGCAACTAGAATATTATATTTGTAGCTCTAACAAAGGTAGTTATATGCTTGAGAAAAGTCTCTAAATCATACTTAATTAGCACTTGGTTAGTAGCCAATCACTATCCGATTAGGAAATACAATAATCTTTTTCACTTATTTGGTGGTGGATGTCCATCTTGAGATATAAACTTAGCCGTATCTATTCTTTCTGAAACTATGAAAATTAGAAATTTGCCAGTTAATGAACCTTTAAAGCTACTAGTCAAACTATGGTATCTTTTTCATGGAAGTTAAAAGTTGAATTTAGGCAAGGATCTTTGATCACGCTGGATATAAACGTAAATTGTTTGCTTCCCACAAGCTATCGGGACCGCCTACATTAGTAGTGATGGAAGCTGGTTTTGTTGAAGTTATTAGGACCCATCCTGTGCGGTCCATATTTATTTACGTCATTATCGATACTATTATCACTATAGTGATATATATTTATATCCATCATGATCATAGGCTGGTCCTATTGATTGTGACCCTCCTCCCGCTCGAATGTTTATTCAACATGCAAGGAATATGTATTTAATTAGGAAATAATATCTACATGTGGGCATGTTACTTTGAGTCCTTACTTAACTTTTTGAAACAAGGCAAAAGATTCGCCATTTTCATTGATTAGGGAGAAGAGAATTGCCTGGTTAATTGACAGAAAACCGGGCTAATACCAGTACAACCCAACCCACATGACATGGGCATCACCGGCCAACCTGGCCACCGACATGTGACACAACCACGATGTCACATGCCACCGGATGGCCACACGCGCAAGCAACTGACATCATCAGTGTTAGATCGAGTTAATCAGAAATGAAGACAAAAAAATAGCTATTGACTGCAACAACAGATAATTCATACAGTACAGTATCAGTGTTAGGTTTTATTCCGGCCCGTACCTAAATGGCCCGCCGGGTGAGCATAGAAAACGTGAAAAAGAACATTCGACTCCAAAGCAAAATAACCGAATTCTTGGTTAATTGAGTGTCAAGTTACTAATGGACACTAATGCCATTATTACAAATATGTGTATTTGGAGATAACTTGCGGTTGTATTCAGACAAGGATCTATGACCGTGATGCTTAAAATATAGAGTGCTCATTTCTCGCTTGTTACCCGGTCATAGAAGCAGCAAAGAAAGATATTTTGTTGTCGATGTTATTATTACTTATTATTTATTGCGATTCATATTTATTTCATGGTGATCCATATTATTATGTATATTGGTCATAATTTTAAATATATAGCACGCTCTCTCGGCACTATAGCACCCATTTATCTGCTAACGCTTATGCCGCTATTTAAAACTTTGATCGTGGTGTATATTTAAGACCATGGTGGTCGTAGGTCGATAGCAATAGAAGAAAGAAATGTATATCCTTCGTGACTCTCCTTCAAAACAGATGTTGATTCCACATGCGATAAATGACATTTCCTTAGAAAATAATTAGTATCCAAAAGTGATAAACAAACTATCAAAGGGGTCCCATATATCAAAGCCAACTGTATAACATTTGTTCTTGCCATATATTAGATGGCTTCGTCTCTCTCTCTCTCTCTGTCTCTCTCTCTCTCATTGCTAATGTCTAAAACGTGGTACCAGTGGAGTAGATAGGTGGGCTCAATGAGGAAGAATGTTCATGGAGCTGGTGCGCATTCATTCACTCAACTTGAATAGCGACCTAAACCTGTCTGATTACATACAGCTCAATCAAACAAAAATGCTAATAATCTAGGTATGGCCTCTCGATTGATTCTAAGTAGAAACCATGAGTGCATCAACAAGACAAAATACAAAGTACATCCACAACCAGGCCAACTATGCCCACTCCTCCGTCCAAGAGAGACAGAAAATGCTTCCGAGGCAAGCTATCCTTCGATCCTCATCCTCGTCCCCGACTCAACAGAAAATGTATGCAAATAATAGATATAAATTTAAACATATGTCCTTATTATTTTATCATATAAATAGCAATCCATGTATATAAATACAATACTGAGATTCCAGGCCTGGGAAGAACCATGCAGGACCCTTAATTAAGTTTAAACACAAGGATTGTGTAATGTTACAATTCTCGCTTCCTCAGTTTAACTATAAATCCATTTTTCATCTGTAGTATACAAGATGGCTTGGGCTGGATGATCTGCCCTTCCACCACCTCGACATCAAAGTTCCACAACACAGTCGCAACGACGGTCTTCATCTGCATAACCGCAATCTCCTTGCCAGGGCAGATCCTCGAGCCTGAGTTGAAGGCCAAGAACTTGTGAGATGGTACGTACCTTAGGGTGTTGCCATCCTTTGACAACCACCTATTCGGGTTATAGTTAAGGCAGTCTTTACCCCATAGGTCTTCCATTCTCCCCATGGAGTGGAGAGATATAAGGATGGTGTCCCCGACCTTCACCTCATGGCCACTCGGCATGATATCACCAGCAGCCACTGTCTTGCGCTCAATAGGTGCCGATGGGTACAACCTAAGAGTCTCGTACAACGCAGCTCTGAGATAGACCAGAGGTTTTGTATCCTCTGGTTCAAAGATCATCATGGCACCCGTACTCGCGGGTACTTTGCGCGATGCAATGGGTGAGAGTTGACTGTGGATAATTGATACAATGCCAGGGTTCTGGGCGAGGTTGTAGAAGACCCAGGGTAGAGTGGTACCAATCGTGTCCCGCCCAGCAAGCATGAAGCTGAGGAGCACCGCATGGAGCAAGTCATTGTCTGTGTAGTTTGGGTCATTTATGTAGGAAGATAGAATATCCTCGTGTTCATCGTCATTACTCAATGAACATCTTCTCCCATTGAGAGTTATCTTACTCCTCTCCTCGATCATCTCTGCAGCAAATCTTAGCACCGTGTGCGCCGTACGAAGATTCCTCTCGGAGCCGATGTTTAGGCGCCTCATTGCCTTCCAGCAAGAGGCTGGAATTAAGTGTCGGATAAATCCCACCTCCATGACCGTGTCCATCGCGCCCGCGGCATCCATGGGTGGCATCGACATGTCTAAGGAGAAGGACAGGAGGCCAGGGTCCACGCCAAAGAGAGGTGTGGCAGCCAAGTCAAACATAAACCTGGAAAACACTTCTTGCATTTCGAACGGAGTGCCGGTGGTTGCCAGGTGGGAAAATAATGGTAGAAGGCCATTCTCCACCTTGTCATGGCAGCAAGTTGCCATACTAGCAACCAACCGTGGGCTACTAAGCACGCTCTGGATTTTTGCGCGCGGCCGAAGAGAGGGTGCACCATCAATGGTGAAGAGGCTACCAGCCATGATGTCAAAGATGGCGGCAAACTCTGCTCCCTTGGGAAAGTTGGTGTAGTTTGTGGTGAAGATGTGTCATACATTCGCGGGGTCGCAGGTGATGAGCAACCGCATCCCGCTCCAAACCAGGCCATGCGCCTTGAAGTTGTGGCCTGATTCGGCAAGCACTATGGAGAGATAGTCATGCAAGTTGTGGGAGTTGGCCAGGAAGGAAGGTAACATGTGCAATATTGGCCAGTTTGTGGGAAGCATTGTTGGGTTCTTTGATCTACTACTATACCTAAAGTAGAAGTACATAGGGACAAGTAGCACGAGAGTGGAGATGAGCAGCTCTTGCGAGAAACTACTCGACATTATTATCATGAGGGTAGGGGGGGATATTCTATTGTCGTACTACTTCGATTTATGCATCCTGCAATCGAACATGGCGATGGCTTCATTTATAGACAATTTCCCTCGATCTAAGTCCATTGTGGTGCACATTGTTTCTCATTGTGAAGTGCATGTTGACTAGCCAATAATTAGCTTGCCACTACAAGAATATATTTGTAGCTCCAACAGAGGTATTTATACACTCGAGAAAAGTCTCCAAATTGCACTTAATTAGCAGTTGGTCAGTAACCAATCACTCACCAATTAGGAAATATAATAGTCTTTTTGCTTATTCGGTGGTGGATGTCTATCTTGAGATAGTTAGATGTACCTATTCTTTCTAAAACTAAAAAAATTAAAAACATAATAGCTAATGAATCTTTAAAGCTACTAGTCAAACTATGGTATCTTTTTCATGGAACTTGGAAGTTGAATTTAGGCAAGGATCTTTGAACACGATGGATGTAAACGTAGAGGGTTTTCTTCCCACGAGCTACCGGTACCGGTCAAATTAGTAGTGATGGAAACTGGTTTCGTTGAAGTTATTATGGCCCATCCACTTTGGTCTATACTAATTTACGCCGTTGTCGATATTATTATCACTATAGTGATATATATTTATATCCATCATGATCATAGGCTACTAGGAAGGAAATAATGAAACTACAAGCACTCTCACCGGTCCTTTTTTATCTGCATATAAGTTTTGTCCGAAGTCAAAATATCTTTACTTTGACCGAACTTCTAGAAAAAAGTATCAACATTCATGAAGCCAAATCAATACTTTAGGTTCACTAGCACAAATGCCCATGCGTTGCAACGGGTGAAAAAAACCACACTTTTCTAACCCAATTGCTCAAGACCCCCCACCCCCATTCCTCATTCCATGATCCACCGCTAGGCATGATGACATGAACAAACTCTTTGAAATCCTCCATGCTGCCATGAAAATATGTATTGCGGAAAAAATATGAACATATTTCAGAAGTGTACTAAAGGTGTGTGGAATTTAATATCTACCTGGTTGTCAGTATCCCTTCATGCCTTTGTTGGAGTTGCTTAGTGATGCCCAAAACATATCGCATTATACTGTAAATAGTAAAGTTTATTCTAGTACAATGTTTGTGCTTCACTACGGAGGTAACACTGATTTTCATGAACCAATGTTGGCTAGGTTTAGGGACTGTGTATATAGCACTATTCGTGTCCAACAATCAAGCAAATATTTTTAACATGTACTATCTTTTTCATCATATATTTTTTAAATATATTGTACATGAACAATAAGTAAAAAAGTTAATTATTATTTAGACATAGTTTTTCTTGCAAGTGTTAAACAATTCTAACATAATTTTCTCTCCATTTATGGGAGGGGTAAAACTACGCGTTCGTGGGACTATAGCTAGTGGCAGAGGATGAAATGTTTTTGAGGGGGGGCACTTTTGAATGATTTCTAACTGGTATACTTTTGTTCCCACAATCTTTTTAGAGATCAACAACTCATTATGGGACAAAACAAATGACAAAAAGTCACGAGGCTAATAGGACACTTTCCTTTTTATTACCGGACGACTTCTCACTTTGCTATTTTTCTCCATCAATCCCAGAAATCCCTCCTTTTTTCTTTATTTTCAATTCCCGGAATCCCGCCTTTCCTTCTTTGTTCTCTCCTTCTTCCTTGTTAGGACACTTTCTTCTTATTACGGGATGGCTGGTTTCCCAGTTTTTCCCCGAATCCCTCTTTTCCTTCTTATTACGCGACAACTTCCTACTTTCCTATTTTTTTCGCTTTCAATCCCTGAAAGCCCTCCTTTCCTTCTTATTACCGGACAGGTTCCCACCTTCCTATTTTTTGTCAATCACGGAAATCCCTTCTTTCCATCTTGATCTTTAGGAAACATGAGACCGACACTTCACTATGTTCGCTAGATGGCTTCTTGATATACCAAGGAGATTAAAGATGTATGCATATTGGGTAGATTGGATTTGAGGGAGCAAGGTGGGACTATTTAACAACTAAATCTACATTTGTTTCTTCAAATAACACAACTGGTTCGGTTGGCTGTGCCATTATCTGTTGGACGTTAGGTTTGGGGATTGAATCCTCTCATCGGCATGTATTTTTTGCTTCAAACATGATAGGTGGGCCAGAGCGCACGGGCGGGCTCAGTTCACCCGGCTCGGACGAATTATACTCACCGACGACGGACGAAACGAGCATTGACGGGTGAAACTAATGACGAACGAAAATTAGGGAGGAAGAAGCTTTAGTCCTTTTATTTATTTTTGAACACAACACAGACGCAAGCGCTCATATACACGCACATACACTCACTTCTATGAACACACACATGCACATCCTTCCCCTATGAGCACATCCGAAAGACTGAGCCGGCATATCATCTTGAAATTCATGAAGTGTTAATCCTTTTATTAATAGATATAGATATAGATTATGAAATGTAGTTTCATAGTACATATATATTTGGTATCGTTGATGTTGATACTTTTTAATATAAATTTGGTTAAACTTTTTGCAACGTTTGACTTGACATAAATCTAATACGTGAAGTAAAAAGAACTGGAGAGAGTATCTTATATCCATTGTGACCCTCTACCCACAAATGTCGATCCAACCTGCATTGAATACCAAGGTACGCCCATTGTTTCTAAATATAAGCCTTTTTAGAGATTCTAATAGAATCTTATATATTTACTAATTAGAGGCACCTTTCAAGCGTTTTAATTAAGCCACACCATCATAATCAATTAAACCGTTGGATTGTAAAATTAAGTCTGAGATAAGAAGAAAACTTGCATAACACAGATGGTTCCGGCCGTCCAAAAAGACATATGACACGGCCAATGTTTCGAAAAAAAATCCATATATTACTTTAAAGCAAATGATAAAGTCCTTCCATAATTACTCTATACTCCCTCAATTCCTTTATATTAGGTGTATTAGTTTTTTCATTAAATTTCACAATGTAAGGTGCATTTGCTCTAATTCCTCGTAATTCCCTTTTTATCCCTCTAGAAAGAGGAAAGTATCTCTATCCTGATTTCCTTTGTATGTCCTTGTATCAAAAGAAGAAAACTATCTCTCTCTGGATTGCATGTATCTCTTACTTTCTTGGACTCAAGGATTTACCTGCCACTAACCAACAAATTTGCCAAGGGTACTTTTGTCATAAGACCTCTATAATTGTGCGCCTTGGTCACCATGTTCAAAATAATACATCTTAGATAAAGAAACGGAGGGAGTATATATGATCTTAGATGTAAAAAGAACTCTATAAGATCCATGAGACATCTTTTTTGACATGCATGATTCGTGAAACTCTTCTGCAATTAAAAAAGGAGTTGCATCGCTCCGTAAAAAAAAAGAGAAAACATCTCCTCAGCTCATGTGCATTTTTTGGTAACCTTGGCTTCCGTGGTCCATTCCAAAAAAAAGAAAAAATCTGACACGTCCAATTTTTGAAACGAAATACAAAAGGTATCCGCCCGTTCCTTTAGAAAGGAGATAGTCTAGTTTCAAAAAAAGAAAAGAAAAAAGAAAGGAGATAGTCTCCATCTCAAAAAAGGCCCCTTCGGTTACAAACAGCTAGTAGTGAAAGCCTTCTTGCCAATTAGAAAAAAAGCATCTCTCCCAAAAAAGAGAAAGCATGTACATTGGCTCCCGTACATTTTTTAGGCAACCACGGCTCCTGTATATGGCCGGATCGTTCAAGTCATCAAAACTAAGTAGACCACTGAATTGAAAATTTATATCTGATAAAAAGAAA